GTGTCCTAGTAGTTAACGAATGTTGGTTAACAAGGTTAATGAGTTTAGCCGGTTAATCTCGGATCATTGGAACCCATGATCTATAGGTCCATTAGGTCCCTCTACTAGCTCATATCGGATTAAACCATAGAACAGTGTGACGAGTGAGTTCGAAGTGTTCGAATTCAAATTAGAGAATACACACTAAATATATACAATAAATTTAACCGCATTTTGTTTTAATTATAAATTGAACAAATTGTTTTAATTATTAATCCAACAAAAAGAGAGAATTGGAGATATTTAAATAAGATTTAAATATTTTAATTATGAATAAGGATTCAAAATCCATATGTGGAGGAATTGATTGGGATTGACATTTAATTTAATGTTAAATATTAATTAAATGGTTTAATTAATCATTTAATATTATTTTGCTTTGAAATCCATTATTTAAATTAATTGTTGAATTAAAGGTTGACTTCACTTTATAGAAAAATTCATGTTTGAGTTAGTGCCTATATTGAGTGTCAACGTATGGTTTAGCCAAACTTGCATGTTTGCCACATAATCTCACAAATCTGAGTGAAATTTTGAGGGTAAAAATTAGGTTTAACCACACTTGCATGTTTGCCAAATAAACCCCACAAATTTGAGTGGAATTTTGAGTGTCAAAATTTAGTAATCTCAACATTGCATGAACATGCAGATATGACTCTATAAATAGAGTGATCAAGGTACATGAAAACTTCTTGAAAAAAAAATTGAGAAAGTCCCTCACAAATTCTCTCTTCACATATACTAAATTCCTTCTAAGTTTAGTCACTCACTAGATTCCACAATCTCGTTCTAAGGTCGGAGAATAGTAGGGAAGACACTTGTAACGCCCCTAATTTTCTCTAACCTAATTAGCGACGTTACCTTATACTTGCATAATCGACAGAACAAGAGTTCACGTAAGACAGTCTCAATAATGACAATACGTTCATTATTTTAAGCAGTTTCTACCTGGAGAAATCAATAACGACGGCCTAGCCTAGAAATAATCAATAGAGAACTAGAGGAAACAATTGCAATAACTATGAACCCAAAAGAATCCAACAAGGTGCCTACGATACTACAAATTCTCCTCAAGATTTCCATGGCCTTCGCAGCATCCACCGTCAGTCAAACATGGGCACCTTGCCCTTACCTGAAAATATGGGTAGCACGTGGCTTGAGTATTATATAAAATACCTAGTAAGTCGCCCCACTGTTGGGGTTAAGCATATAATCATACATCAGGATACAAGCAGTTGCACACAATACACATACATGTCGCACATAATACACCTACATGAGCACAAGTGTTAAAAGAAAGAAACTGAGAGAGGGGTCTGTCTTCCATTCCTTCCCATGGCCTTAGGCCCTTGCTTTGTCCAGGCGGGAGAAGATGCATGGTACTTTCCCGCACATGGCCCACATGTGTGACTGTGGGCCCACCAAGCGAGTTCGCAAGTGAACTCCCTGGGCCTGGCTTGGTCGGGTATGTATGACATACAATACCGGACGCCACGGATAAAGGAGGGCCTACATGATATCGTGGTGAACACAATATCGAATATACGCGTCCATATCATCAGTAGCATAACGGGGGAGTGCCCAGGTACATAACCATAGCATGCATAAGGTTCTTGAGAGTTACCTCCATGACATTATACATACAACGTTCCATCCCATCACCGCATTACATAGCATAACTGGGTCAAACATCAGGTAAGCATACCGTAGCATACTAGTCATCACATTCATGGCATGCGGGGTTCTCATTACAAACATGACATGTCAATCAAGCTCGTACATACAGGGTAGCAAATCGTGTCACAAACGTCATATACAAATAACCTGCTCCTCTGCTTCTTTCTCCTGCTTTCAAGACTCTTTTAAATGATCGTGAAATACCATGAGCAGCAGGATGTTGAGGTCCGGAATTCGAAGTGAAATTTTTTATTTGCCTCTTACAAGTCGTCATGGGAAAGAAAGGCAGAAAGAAGAAAGATATTATTCCCTCTGAGCTTGGACAGTACTACCAGTACAAAAAATGCATCTCCTGAACCTTAGCAGCAACTGAAGCCTCAATGATAGCTAAATCTTTCATATTGAATTGACCTATAATATACAGACTAAAGATAAAGAGTAGCCCTGCTTCTTCTTCTTCGCTCCTTCTCCTGAGATTCTCTGTTTCGTGGCCGATAACTCGATTCGAGATTAGAAAGCCCAGCTCCTTTGAGCAAGTTCACTATGAATTGCATTACCTTCTATATATCTCTCGCCTATTCCTTTCCGTTAACTATTTATTGAGATATAAACATGACATACATAGCATTTTACGGCAAGAATCATATACATAAACATGGCATACATAGCATTTCACTACAAGGAACATCTAACCTAGCATACATCAACAACACACATGGTGCATGCAAGGGCTACAAGGCACGCACCAACATACATACATAACTAACACCAACAGTAAGGTTACTTACCTCTTGGCCTTGGCCGAAGTTACTCGCGATAAGCTAACGTCCACGTCTAACTACCTCCTATAACACCATAATATACACTTAGCGTCCTTTCACGATGTAACCCAACCAATCTTATGTCTAACTATCAAGGTAAGTTCCTATCATGATCTGTGTTTAATAATTAAGAGTTACAATGACCTCAGATGCCTAAAATAAGGGTGGGAACGGCTCCAGAAGGGTTGAAAACCTAGGAATCAGTATATTATTTGTATACCAAGCCGTTAAGCCGAGCCGTCGAGCCACACCGCGGAGCCGAAATACTAAGTTGACAAGCCAAGAGGGTCCCTAGTGGCGCATAACTCCTGGATGCAGGCTGGTATCGCTGGTCTTGGGCTGGAATGGATACGCGGCCCAACGTCAATGTTTGACGCAGACTGCAAGGCGCGGGCCGCAACAGTGGGCCGCACGTTGGCTGAGCGAGCTCGCGGGTACCCGAAGAACCCGACCCGTGACCCGCTGCTCCATCTTCCTCACCCGAGGTGTTGGTGTTAATATAACACATGCAAAAGCAATTTGGATCTTAGGCACTTTTAGAACATCAATTCTAGTAAATAACTAGCATGTTCATAAGTATTAAAACTTTATGAGTTTAAATACTAACCTTTTGTAGTTCAAACTTCTTTTTCCTCATGAACCGGTTTCGAACCCCCACTAGTGTTTTCTCCACTATCTTCCGGCCTTAGAACGGGAGTGTGGAATCCAGTGAGTGACTAAACTTGGGAGGGATTTTGTATATGTGAAGAGAGTGTTTGTGAGAGGTTTTTCTCAAGGTTTTTCACCAAGAAGAAGACCTTCCATGTACCATGATCACTCTATTTAAAGAGTCATGTTTGCATGTTCATGCAAATTTGAGATCACCAAATTTTGACATTTAAAATTCCACTCAAATGTTTGGGATTATGTGGCAAACATGCAGTTAACCAAATTTTGACACACAAAATTCCACTCGAACTTGTGGGGTTTATTTGGCAAGCATGCAAGTTTGATTAAACCAAATTTTGACACCTCAAAATTCCACTAACATGAATTTTTCCATCAAATGAAGTCAACATTTTAATTCAACAATTAATTTGAATAATGAATTTCAAATTAAAGTAACATTAAATGATTAATTAAACTCTTTAATTAATATTAATTCAAACGCCAATCCCAATCAATTCCGACATATAATTGATTAAGATATTTAAATCTTATTTAAATATCTCAGATTCTCTCTTTTTGTTTAATTCGTAAATAAAACAAAAATGCGGTTAAATATATCGTATATATGTGGCGCATATTCCATAATTTGAATTCGAACACTTCGAACTCACTCGTCACACTGTTCTATGGTTTAGTCCGATATGAGCTAGCAGAGGGACCTAATGGACCAATAGATCATGGGCTCCAACGATCCAAGATTAACCGGCTAAACTCATTAACCTTGTTAACCAACATTCGTTCACTACTAGGACACTCCACTATAGCCTAGTAGTTGCACTCCCTCACTATAGATATATTTCTGTGTAACGACCTGGGAAAGAAAAAAATATATATATATAATAAATAAATGAAAACGAAAAAAAAAAAAAAAAAAACCCAGTCGCCGGAAAACCCGCGAGCTTTCCGGCGACCGCCGAGTTTTGCGGAACCCACGCGAAACGACGGCCACAGCACGCCCACCCTCAGCCCAGCATCTTCAGAACACCTGCAAAGGGAGAAAAGAGAGAAAATTTTGAGAGAGAGAGAGAGATTTTGGACAAACGCCGGCGAGTGTCCAGTTTCTCCGACGAGCCCTCAAACCACCCTTAAACCGACACCAAACGACCTGTTACTACCATAAGAGAGATCCCTAACGAAAGCACAATAACTTAGGGTGCGTTTTGTGTTATTTCGTAAGCGTCGTCGTCGGTAACCGTGGTCGGAAAATTAGGTTTCTTAATTGATTCTTAGATCTATGGCTTTTAGGAGCTTTTAGGCCGCAAAACTCCCAAAAAGAAAAGAAGGACGACGAACAAAGAGGAAAAGGGGAAGGAAGAGGACCGAAATCGGCAACGGAAACGCTGCGGGAAGGTGAGAGAAAGCTCGCCAGAAAATCGGCCAAAATCGGGTAAGGAAGACGAGATCCACGGATCCGGGTCAACCCGAACCTAGAACCCGGGAGAGCCAGCCCGTTCCTCCCTTGGCTTCTGCCTTCGGCCCAGCCCAACTACAGCGGCCCAAACCTCAAACCGGCCCAGAAGCTACGGTTCAGTTGAACCAACCCAAACTAGACCCACGGTCCAATTGAGCCAGCCTGCAAACAAAACACTTGCGGCCCAGCCCAGTAAGCCGAGGCCCAACATTTAGCCTTGGCCCAGTAGCCTTCAACAGCCCGCGACCCGAACCACAACCCGAACCGGACTGCGACCCGCGCTTCGACCCGACACTACCGCCCGACGTGGCTTTCTCTGCTGCTGCCACGTGTCACACAGCGGCGCGGTAGTCCCTCGGCTCAGCTCGGCGCAAATGGCTCGGGCTCCCTCCGATGACGCTCCAGCGGCTGTTCAGCTCGGCTCACTTATTTTTAGCCCGGTTTCCACTATTTCGACCCTCCCGGATCTGTTTTCGGCCCCGATTAAGGTATCCGAGGCCGTTTTAGAGCTGTATTTCACATTTATTAAATTATAGGTAAATTAATTGTGAAATACTAACGGAAAGTGGTGAACGGTGTGGTAGGAAACAAACCCCAGCGACGTAGGAAGCAGCTCTCACGGAACGGGAGCTTACGTTTAGCTATTTAGGGAGTACTTCGGCCAAGGCCAACCAAGTAAGTGGCCTTACTATAGGATAGGCTAAATAAATTATATGATGCTTGATGATATGTGCTAGTATATACATATTTTGTTGAGTGACGCTTGATATGTTTGACGCACGTTGTGGCATTATGATGAGCATGATGATTGCATGATTTTTACCTTAATATGATGATATGTTCCATATTGAGCATGCTAGATGATGATGAGTGCCATATTGCATCATGTCGTTAGATCGACGTAGGACACAACCCTAAGAGCATGAAAATGATATTAATATAAATATCCACGAGTATGCGTTACCTAGAGTAACAAAGAGATGAGACTAGAGGGTTGTGTCAGAAGAGACATTACGATGGATTTAGAGGAACCTCATGCATTTTGTATGTTCATAAGCATAGGGCTACTTCCCTTAGAGATGATGAGTGCGGACGCGCACCTTATGATGAGCGCCAATGCGCACAGGTGCGAAAGCACACAGATGAGGGTGTTCATGAGGCGCATGACACTATGGGGTTCCGCTGACCTCCGGACGTCGCTACAGATTAGCTTGACCAGAGGGTCCAGGGGGTGTGCAAGCGCCCTGGGGACTCACACTCGCACGTGTGAGTCGTGTGTAGGGAAGTACTACACATCCAATTTGTCCGAAACTGGAGGTCACCCCTAAGATGATTAGAGATAGGTCCCTATTCATGATTGCATGTGTTTGCATTAGCATGGCCCCTATAGTGGGGTCACTTACTGAGTATTTCTGAAATACTCAGGCCGTGTGCCATATTGTTTTTCAGGTAAAGGCAAGGCTCCCATGTACGGTTGACGGTAGCATCGTGATCAGAGACTGTGGCGCGTGCATAGGATAGTTGCATATTTAATTCCTAGTCTTGGTTAGGATAGGGCGTTTGCATTTCATTCATTTATATTAATTAATTTGTAATCGTGTTATTTTATCTTTTTGAACTCCAGCACGATGTTTGAAACACGTAAGTCCGGCAGTGTTTTCCAATGTTTTAATGTATTCTGAAGTTTTAAATTTTTCCGCTAATAAAGATGAGCATGCTTAGGTTTTTATTCTGCATTAGAGATGAGCATGAGACGTTAGTGGCGACTCTAGATATGTGGAAATTTAGGGTCGTTACAGTTGGTATCAGAGCTCTAGGTTATAGATTCTGTAGACTAGCCTACGATGTAGGCTTGGCACGCTCCACAGTTCCAACGTCGATGCCCCGTCACCGTCAGGTACGCCTTGCATGAGATAAGAAAAGAGAAACGTTTTAAAACTCGCATGCATTTTTTTTTATGTTGACATTACTGAAATGGTTGTGATATTTCACGTATTTATTTAAGAGTATGACGTCATGTGTTGCATGCTGAGTAATTTTGTTAATAGCATGATATGATGCTTAGCATGATGAATGTTTACTTCTTTGGCGTTACGATGTATTGTATAGTGTGCGTATTGTTATATATATATATATATATATATGCATAGTATTAAGGCCTTAGACTTAAGCAACCTTATATTGGTTTATAGAACCATGCCCGGAGGACGAGGAAGAGGAAGAGGAAGACGAGGAAGGGGGCGACCCCGTCGTAGAGAAGTAGGACGAGGTGTGGCAGTAGAGGGCCCACCTCAAGAAAGATTAGAGACTGGGCCGGTAACAGTTACGCCGCCCCCAGTCTTACCACCAGTTGAGCTACCTCCTCTAGCTCCACTACAAGCTGAGCCTCCACCACCAGTACAGCCTCCACCACAAGTAGAACCTCCACCCCAGCCTACCCTACCACTCCAAGTCACACCTGAAGCTGCACCCCCAGTGGGTGGAGTAGATGCTAATACTAGGTTAATGTGTGACTCCATCCAAGCCCTAATTCAAACCTTGGTAACCAATCAGCAAGCCAGTCTACAACATGCCCAGGAACAAGCCCAAGCACAGGCCCAGGCACAGGCGTTGGCACAGGCACAGGCACAGGCACAGGCCACTGCCCTAGTAAACCCTCCACAACCTGTTAGATGTTCAAACTGGATAAGGGATTTCAAGAGATATGACCCTCGACCATTCACTGGTTCCTTGGTAGACCCCATAGAAGCCCAAATGTGGATTGCAGCGGTGGAAACCACCTTTGAGACTATGGAGTGCCCAGAGAACCAAAAGGTCGCCTGTGCAACCTTCGTCCTACAAAAGGACACAGAGAT